GAGTTCCCCCACCTCACCAAAAAGGCTGTAAAAGTGTTCATTCCTTTCACCTCCACCTACCTGTGTGAGTGCGGGTTTTCCGCATTGACTTTGATCAAAAGCAAGTACCGGTCAAGGCTGCAGCCAGAGGATGATCTGCGTTTATTCCTGTGTGCATCAAAGACGCAGACTCATTGTTCCCACTAAAGTAGGGGTGAGTGTAATAAGGAGGCAAAGTTGACGTTCAGTGTGTTGCCGGGAGCATATAAGGATTTATCCACCATGTTGAAAAATGTTAAAAAAATATATGTCTTGAGAACACGGCCTGCGGAAATATACGGGTCGTGCTGCAGCTAGATGTGCCTGCCCTCTGTAAGAAGATGTTGGCGACTGACATGCAAGGAAGAACGGCTGTCCACAGGCTGTTCCAACTTTAACAACAGTATTAACTTCCAGGGTAGTGAATTGAACATGCAATTGTAATTGGGTGTGTGGTATATTTTAATGCACGGACACGCATGTTCCACAACAAACAAACTGAACAACACTCAATTCTCCGATCGCTACCAGCGTCCTTGCGATCTTGTTATAATAACAAGTGTACGTTACTGATGCAATATGGTTGAGACCATTCGGGCTTATTCTAGAGGGGTGTAAGGAATAGTCCAAGTAGTGGGGGAGTTTTATACAATATGTTTAAAACATAAAAATAAAAAGGTTTTAAAAAGTTATTGTTTAATGTTTTAAGGAGGTGACGCTACTCAGCCAATCAAATCGGTGCAGTCAGCACGATAGATTCAAACACACACAGAGACACGACACAAGAGGAGAGAAACAGTCGGAGTAATTTCAAATGGCGGAAGGTAGACAGCGAAAACAGAGCATTTAATTACATTTTCTCTTACTGGACCTCTTTGAAATGCAATTGAATACCCCTGCATTATAGCAACAACAACGACAATAATAATAATAATAATAATAATAATAATAATAATAATAATAACAGCAATAATAATTGGGAGGGGGGGCACTGCTGTTCTTATGTTCTCTGAGGGGAGGCTCACCTCCCCACACTTTGAAAACCCCTGATCTATAGGAATCTGAAACAGACTTAAAAGGATGTTTTGACATTTCTGTAGATTAAATGAACTTTGACTCTTCCTATTCAGTTCTTGGATTTTAAGGAAACACAAAATAATAAAACGTTCACTCCCCCCATTCAGGACTTACGGGGGTTGGGGTTGTCTTGCAGCGCGACCACAAACTTGGACCTCTTCCTGAGACCTTCCAGGAAGGTCACCACAAGGTCACGGATGTCCTCTGCGTTGTTGGAGTTGAAGGTGTACTCGTCTGCTTTTATTGTTGCTAGAGTGAAACTCTGACTCTGTAGCTTCCCTCCCCTGAAAGAAAGACAAGATAATATTTTGATTATCATCACCTATGTGACTAATATCAGCATTTTCTGTACAGCAGGTCAGCATCATTCCAAAACTGTTCAATTCAAATATAAAAGGTTTCCTGATCTGACCAGCTGCAATGAAGGACTGATTAGGTTTAGGCACAAACTTGGTTAAGGTTTGGGAAAAGTCAGTAGTTATTGTAACATGGTTTTTTATAAAGAAATATATGTATTGGGAGGGATGAACCCCTCTTTAATGGTCACACATGCAGAGCACATAGCACACAGTGGAATGTGTTCTAACTTCTAACCCATCCTAGTACCAGGAGTCTAGTACTAGGAGCAGATAACTACCTTGTTAAGGTTAAAGGGCCATGATGTCACGGTTAAAAAAGTGAATAGCTTTCTGTAGGAAACTGACTGCCGGTCTTTTACAACAAAGCTCACATTTTATGATTTTAATCTCTTTATTTTGCATTTGTTAAAAACTTATTTTAACAAAAACACATTTTTGTTAAAAGAAGAAAGAAAAAGGGGAGGAATTGCTAGGGGGAGACAATTTGTAAAGGAAATAAAGTAAAATAATAAAAACATGAAGAATTGGAAACAAGCAAGTGACAGACAGAGGGAAACATAGAAAGAGACAGCAGGGAGACAAAGGACGGAAAGAGTTTCCAAAGGAGCACGTAAACTGTTTATTGACTACATCTCCCAGCATGCCTCACCTGCTGCTAGAGACTGCAGTGATTTCTGGGAAGGACAGCTCCAGGAGGACCTGCTCCTGCTCGTCCACAAAGTAAACCCCGGTCCAGTTGACGGCCACGATCAGGTCGTTTTTAGGCAGAGCGGGACCTGAGACAGAGGAGTCATATTTAAATGTATTTATTATTTTAATCTATTTCTCATTGATGTTATTGATGTCTTTTTGTAAATATGAAATGAGTGCTGGAAGATAGAGCCTGATATCTAAGAATGTATTTGCCAACGACAGCTCCTCTTGAATGAGATGAACTATTCTCTCTTTGTTGTTGCTGTATCTGTGGTCAGGTGTGAACGAGGCTGCAGATTCTCACCTGAGAACTTGAAGGCTTCATAGAAGCGAGAGAACAGCAGAGGCCACTTGTGGCGAGCGAAGTCCACCACCTCCTCCTTCACCTTCTGAGGGTCGAACCTCTTCTGGGTGTAGATGCCCTGAGAAACATGGAGACAAGTTTCCTCTTTTAATATGTTAAAAGAAGGAGAGATAAGATGTTTCATTTGCCGATGGACATAGCTCCAATATGTACAGTGTGGCATCAAAAAGTGTTTAATGAATATGAAGAAACTGTCAGCATTATGTTGGATTTAAATGAGACACTTTTATTTTAAGTTTAGATATTTTTGCTTTAATGACATCCTTACATGAGCCTATACCTTTCTTGCATTTTCCTCTCATTTAATAATGTTTTATTGTCAGAGTTTATAGATGTTTTATCTTCACAGTCTACTGTATATTTTCTACTTTTTAATGCTGCTTTAATTCTAGTTTAATTTCTAGTATTGTTTATTTCTACTCTTTAATGTCTACTTATGTACAATACCTTGTTTTGCTTGTTATGCTGCTGCAACGCAAACATTTCCCAATTTGGGATCAATAAAGTACCTCTTATCTTATCTTAATAAAAATCAATGAATTAATCTGAAACCACTGAAGTTTAACAAATCCAGCCTTTTTTCTGTCAAGCAAACGTTTTAATATTTCAAAAAGATACCTTTGATGAGTACTAGCTTGCATCAAAAAATAACTTCCCTGTGAGCCGAAAACGATAAGATATATTTTTGGGTATATCTTCACGTACCTATGAAGCAAAATGTATTTCCTCTCTCACAAGAACACAGTGGTACGGCTGGCTGCTCTGTGTGGTTCAGCAGCTGTAACGTTACTGTATGTTCTCTATCTGGGTTCAACATGTAAGCAGACATTTCATTGACAAGACAAGCTGCCTGAACTTCTGGATGAAATGATAAGAGAGTAGGATTTCTCCTCTGAGAAAACATGATGTTAACATTTCACAGTAATCCATTTGATCAGTTCTGGGTTTAAGTTTAAGTCTGTCTAAGTTTAAGTTCCAGTCTGAACCATAGCTCTGAAAGAGCTTCCTGGCAGCCTGGCTGAACCTGTGAGATAACTGCAGGACACTGCTCCCACCTTCTTGTGAGCGGCCATGATTAAATGAGCCCATTTCTCCACCGTCCTGGAGGTGCTGATCTCTCTGTCTGGGATGTAGGAGGGGATGAGGCTCAGCAGGCGCTCCAGGAGTATTTCTGAACCGTAATCTACGTAATACTGCTGAGAGGCCAGCTCTGCCAGGTCATCCTGAGGACACAGACAGACACACTGTAGGGGAGGAAGCTCGGACACATCATCCTATAATAGAGCTGCAACTAACCGAAACCAAACAACACTGTGAAGGCAAGGGGAATGTAGGTAAAGAGAACTCAGTACTTTAGATCAATGCCTGGGTTCTTTCTGGTGCACGGTTTACATATTTATTATGTTGTGTTTATTTATTCTTATATGTTGTTTCATTATGTATTCAAGATGCCCTTTTAAACAAATAAAACATTTCCAAAGTGACGAAGTCAACTAGACACTTTAATATACATTTAAAAAAGAAAGAGGACTACTATTAAGCCCTAGTTTATATTCTGGAAAGCTAATTTGAGGGATAATTCAAAATGTAGGAAACACTTATTTGTTGTCTTCTGAGAGCTAGAGGAACTCTCTCATAATGTGTGATAGAGCCAAGCTAGCTCCCATAGTTCAAGTCTTTATGCTAAGCTACCTGGATGCTGAGTCTAGCTTCATACTAAGCGGCCATGAGAGTTTTATCAATCTCCTTTTCTCTCAGCCACAAAGTGAATAAGCCTCAATCAAAGAAATGAGGACGCACCCTGTCGCAGCGGTACTCTCCGAACTTCACCCCCCTGACGGTTTGTTGGTAGATGAGGTTAGTGGCGACCTGGTCATCCCCGGGGTTGTGCCAAGGCGTGAAGATCTCCTTCCTGAAGAACAGCCTCCAGGGGGCATTCCTCTCCTGGGCGCCCTGCTCCTTGGCGTACTGCTCACACTGCGACACAGCGTCCATCACGTGGTCGTTCCCGCTGCCCAGAGACGAGACCTGCAAAGATTCATCACTGCTGAGGCCGAGACTACCTGGGTTTACTGCTGGGTTAGTTCCTCCAGTGCTAAATGGTATGATATGTTTAACTGTCATACAAAATGTATCAATAAACATATTCAAAACATTGTAGTTTCAGTATTACTTGGCCAGTGAGAACATTTTGTCTTAATTCTTCAGTATATATGATATATGTGTAAGGGTTAAATCACTCATAAATATACTGAAAAATAATTGCTATCTGTTTTTTTTTCAACAAAAGTTAAATTGCTAAGGTTAAAATGTGTTAGTTAACTTACACTCCTTCTTCCTAATTTAAATATATTTTTTAAAACAACCTATAATAATACAATATCTTCAAAGATTTGTTGAACCTAGTTGAACCCTGCTTCAATGAAACGTCCATTCTCAGAGAGTGCCTGAGGCTTCAGTTGTTCTTCCCACACTGGTGAGAACAAATAGATGTTTTGACCGGAGGGGGCTTAAGGTTTCGAGGCCCACCTTGTCAAACAGAGCGATGTAGAGAGAGAAGCCGAAGCGGTCCCGCAGGTTGATCTTGTCGGACAGCGCACTGCAGAGCTCCATGGCTGTGGTGGCCGAGTCGGTCAGCAGCGTCTTGGTCGTGCCATCCATGAAAGTCACCGGCAGCATGATGGGCTTCTTCGACTTGGTGGCCTGGAAAATATTCCAGAACTTAATGTTTCCACTATCTTTCATTTTACGTCTATACATTATTTTCCTAAATAACTCTGATGGGTGTGTGTACCTGCAGCTCCAGCCAGGACGGAGGTTGTGTTCTCGTCCCGTTGACAAATGTCCGTCTCAGCCTCTCTTCACAGTACGGAGCGTAGCCCGGCGGCCCGCTGCTGATGAAGTTCCTCAGGTACTGGAGGTAAAAATACAAAACACAAAAGCTGTAAATTGCACACATACAAATAGCAAACAACACAACCGAAAATAAGATGAATTCCTGAGGTAGCATTCAGATGGCATATGTGGCTGACTGGGAAATACAGGGCTAAGACTGGGGCTCAACACCACAGCTGAGGCCAGATGATCTCACAAAGATATTCATGTCTATTCACACTCTTAACTTAAAAATGTGGTCCTGGTTGCTCAATAATCTCCACCATTCGACCCATAATAAGGGTTTTACACTCTGTAAGGGCTTTACACTTTGTCCAATAGTGCGTGGGTTTTAAAAGATAATAAATGAATGGTAATGATTCCTGCATATACCCTTATTAAGCTATAAAAAGGTAAACCTCTTGAATTGTAGATGTAGAGGATCCATTAAAAAAAAGACCCGACAGTGATAAGAAAATATGTTTTTTAGGATGTCTCCCTTCTGTATATTTAAATTGATAATAAAATGAAAAAGTGTCCTGACCTTGAGAAACTTGTCTGACGGGGCGAAGCAGCCGACACACAGAGAGATGAGGATCCAGCCGCGAGCGTGAGAGCTCTTAGACGGGTTCTGACTCAGCTGCTTACAGATCTGACAGTAGATCTCATCCCTGCCACACACACACACACA